TGATTAGCCTACTTCCAGTTGTGTTGGCAATGCACCCCAAACGATGCGAAAAAGGGCTGGTAAAGTTCACGCCTCAGAGAAGTAGGGCGGATATTTCCGCAAGAGTATGGCGGAAACAGTACGGCACGGTAGGGTGGAAATCGGCACCACAGGAGCTTTCAAAGCAGGGCGGCAGTTCTCGCCTTGCGTGCGAGATCGCCCCAAGCACGGTGGATCCGAAGGCACGGCTGGGCCACTCGCCCCGATCGTCGCCTCCGAGCCATGGACGAATGGGAGGGCGCATCCGCAGGCGCCGACGAGCCCGAGGGCCCACGGGCGCGGCCCGCCAGCCGGGCCGCGCCGTCGGCAGCGCCGCCAGCTGGCGCTGAGCCCGCGCCGGAGCCTCTCGACGAGGGCTCGGGCTCGGAGGGCGCCGCGGCGGGCAGGGCCGATGGGGCGTGCTGCGCGCCTCGCGCGGGGCGGCGGCGCAACCGGGCGGCGAGGCCCGGGGAGCAGGCCGGGGGCAGCGAGAAGGTCAGGGGCAACTATTGGGATCGGGGCTTCGTAGAGAAGGGGTGCTCCCAGGGTGGAATTACGGGACCAACCCAGCTGGCCCACATTTCCTTCATCTAGGAGCAGCCTGGAGCGATGCTCCTCAGAACCCACTTCTGCCCCTACTCCACATTTACGTCCCCCCGATGGGAGTGGATAGGTTGGGGGGTCTGAGGTGGCCCAGCACTGGTTCCCGGACCAGCAGGCAGGGCGGGCAGGTTCGACGTTCTGGGTTAGGAAAGATTTTGTTACCCTGTTCGGCCTTTGGGGGCCGTTTTCGAGCCCCAGAACCGTCAAAACGGATCTGGACCATCAAAACGGATGCGGGGTGGCAAATTGCACCAGATGGACCCCTGAGCGGATTTGGCTTCATCCCCCTCCTGACTGATTTTCGAGGGTCCCAGCCAGTTCAGACCCTTTGGCCGCCTCCATGGGATAGGCTCGTGCGCGAAGGATAGGCGGCTGTCAGATGTTTTTGTGGGTTCTCGGCAGTGTTCCAGCCTCGAGGTGCCTTCCAGCAGCTGCACCTCGCCGAGAGCGTTCTGGGTGTATCCGGATTGTCCCGAAAGGCCGCCAGAGAACCGAGCTATGACCCGAAAACCAGGGGGCATTTTTGGGGGGGATAGGCTCGGGGTGGGCTGCACCGCCCCCCCGGACAGGGGCATGGTAGCCTTCCCACCCAGGACCGTACGGATTTGCTATTGAGGGCCTACCGCCGATGTATCGTCGATTCCAAGGCAGTGTTTCCTTCCCTGAGCCGGACCCCCCCCTTATGGTTCCCCTCGCAGAGGAGACCACGAGCGAAATGGGTACGAAAGAGTGGAGACAAGGACAAAGACCCACAGTAGTTCCCGTTCGCTTTGAGCAGGAACCGCTGTCGGTGCCGCTGCAGACGCTGCCCATCTGAAGCAAAAAAGGTCGCTTGCCCAACGGCAACGGCTGTCTGTGTTGAACAACATTTGCTGGTGGGCATCGCACGCATGTTTGACCATAATTGCCCGTTCCAGGTGTGGCGAGGTGGGGACGAGGGGGAGCAGGAGGAGGAGGAGGAGGAAGAGGAGGGTGAAAGCAAGGGAGGAGGGTGAAAAGGAAGAGAGGAGGAGGACGAGGACGAGAAGAATGACAGTTGCATAAACAGAAATGCTCCGGGGTCCGCGCGGACGTCGTGGGTCGGCGCCAGGCCCCCCCGTCTCCGCGCCGCCTCGGCGGCGCCTTTTGGCACGCTCTCCGCGCACCGGGGAGGGGCGCCCAGCGCCGAGCTGAGCAGCAGTGCGTGCGGACCTCCAGAAGTTTGTGCCATGCCGTCTTCGCCACGAAGACGGCATGGCGCAAACTTTGGACGGCGTCCCAGATCATGTTGGGCATGAATCCACTCCCCCGAGGAGTGCGTTCGAACATGACTTTACTCCCCCAGGCTCGCGTTTCAAACCGGCCTTCGTTTTCGCCCCCGAGGCGCACCACCGCATCCCCAGTCTTCGTGTGCTTCCGTGCTCCTCTAGACTGGACTACGGGGGGGCGGGGGGCAAGCGTCGGCCCCCAGGCGCCCACTCCTCGCCAATCGGGGCCTGGGTGCCCCAACCTGCCCAGGAACGTGGGGTTCCTCATCGGGGGGCCGATCGCAGAAATCGGCTTGCCAGCAGGTGCTCCGCGGGATCCACAGAGGCTCTGGGGCGCCCTCGAAGATCGCCGAATCATGCGCCCCAAGGTCTCCTACCGCAAGACGTCTTGTCGTGTGCGTCTACTTTCTCGGCGATCCATCGCCGACTCGAGCTCGATGCTTCCCTTTCGTTCCCCCGATCGCCGATTCGAGCTCGCTGCTGAGCTGGTCCCCCCCGCTGCCGTTCCCCCCGGCTGGAGGCCGCCGCGGCGGCCAGCTCGGCGAAAGCCGGCGGCAGCCTCGCCGGCCAGAGCGACAGGGCGAGGGCGTCGGCGGGCGCGTGAGGGGAGCTCGCACATCTGGGCGCTGCGGCGTGCGACTGCGCCGCATGCCGACGAAGACAGAACGACATGCAGTCGAGGCAGATCAGTGGGTCGGCCCTGCCAAGTCAAGGGTACCCCTGTGGCCCATGGTTCGCGGCCCGTGCCTTCTACATTTCTCTGGCAACGTGACCCTCGGAGGGGTCTTGTGTCCTCTCGCGTGTCCTCTCCAATCAGCCCCGACTGAAAGCATGGACTTCCCGAGGTCCGCGCGGACCTCCGAAAGTTTATGATCATGTAATGTTGTTGCTCCTCTTAGCATCGAAGGCCTGCGTTGGCTTCCTGGCCAGCCTGAATCGTGCTCGCTCGCGAGCGTCAAGTGATCGGTGCCGGGGCAGGCACTGCGCCACGAGAGTGCATAGAGTTGCCCGCCAGGCTGCCGATGGTCCTAATTTCCAGCTTGTCCCTGATGAGTTCCGCGGGGGTCTGGAGCGCGCTGCACCAAAAAAGTGTCGTCGGTCTTGGGCAGTCTTGGACCCGCCTTAAGGCCGAGAACAGCATCAGAGAGCAGCACTGACCAGGGGAGGATTAACCCAGCAAAGCACCCTCATAGCAGCAAAGGTGAAGAGGCGGGACAGGGGGGAGAGCCACCAAGACAGGGATGAGAGCACGACCATGTGCACCTTAGCGTATCTTTTACAATGGATCGTGGCCGTCCGGACCAAAAATGTAGCCAGCATCGAGGCGAGAGCACGATTCCTGAGTGAGTTGTGAGAAAGTCAGAGGCGAAACGGCTGCCGGAGCGGACGGTCTGGAGCTTTGTGGGGCTCTTCTGTTGTTTGGGGCATTTCTATCAGAACCCTCTTACCGAAACGCACCATCAGGGAAAAGCCACTCCGATCCCCAGGACCGGCGCTTCCTAACCAGTCCTGGGCCCCGGGCGTTTACCAAGCAGTCCTGCCTTGTTCGATCCCTTCCTCAGGTGCACTTACTGAAGGGCTTGTAGGAGTGCTTATGAGTGTGGTTCCTCTGCCCTCCATAGGACCTGCCATGATGCCGAGAACAGCTCCTCTTCGGCATCCTGTCGCTCTGCTCCTACTCCTGCTCCTGCTCGTCCCACCCCCCTTCCTTGGCAATATCCTCGCTATTCGTATTACCCACAAACCCTGCCGTTCGACGGTGGCCACAAGATGAGGCGACGGTCTCTCGTTTTTGTAATATCTCTCTCTATCTCCATCTCTTTCTCACGTTCTCTCTCTCTCTCTCTATCCCTATCTCTCTCTCTCTCTATCCCCCCTGTTTCCTTTATTTCTTATTCGAAAACGGGGAAGGAGGGAGGAGGACGAGGAAGAAAGAGGAAAGTAGGAGGAAAGGAAGGAGGAAGGGGGAGGAGGATGAGGCGCGAGGATGAGGAGTGAGAGAAGGACGGAGCAGGAGAAAGGATGATTTAACAGGATTGAATATCGCCTGGTTCTAAGATCGAAGATATGAGAGCACAGAGTGATTCCCCCAGAAGTCTTAGAACCAGCGCCCGTGAATATCGTGCGGTAGTTACATACGGATGTTGTTTTGAGATTTCTCGATGAAGCCCCCATGCTGATCAGATCTTATATCTTAGAACACCAAGCGAGATTGAAGGTTCAATCTGATTCAATCACCCCGTGAAGCCGCGGGCCAGCGGCACGCAGAACGATAAAATCAGAGAGGGAGAGGAAGAGAAAGGAAGAGAGGGAGATAGAGAGAGAGAGAGAGAAAAAAAAAAAGAGAGAGATAGGGAGAGAGAGGCAAACGTGTACCTTGAAGGCGTGAGGGGAGGTGAATAATGAAGTGGTGAGTGAAAGGTATGATGGAAGATTCAGTAATTTAGTATGATTAGATTTCAGTATGCGGCGTACGTACCAGAGTGCGGGTATGGGGGGCCTCTTAAGATTAGTACGGACACCCTGACGGATATCCTACAGGCATGTCAACACGCCACTGCCGCGTGGACAAGGCGGCGGAACTGTTCCCTCTGCTGTTCCTCGCCGCTTCGGACTCCGACGCGTCGTCAGGAGCATGCGCCGAAGTGGCACCGGCGTGCGAACACCTGTCCGTCAGCAGCGAGGGCGGACGCCAATGTCGGAGAGCCTGCGGGCCGCGCCGGAACCAGGGGCACGCAGATGCGGCCAGGGGAGAGGCGAGGGCGGCCGCGGAGGGGGAGCGCGGGAGGAGGCCTCGGGCGCAGAGAGTCTTCGCCACGAGGAGTGCGCAGGCGGCCTCCGGCACTGGGTACTGGTGAGCCAGGAGGTTGCGCGGTAAGCCCGGAGCCCAAGTTGCCGAAGGGGGGCAGCGCCGTGATCCACCAGAGAGGCAAGCCGTCATCCGCTGGGCGACAGGCAGAATGGCATTGCTGAGCCAGCGTGCGAACACAGCCAGTGCACCAGCAGAGAGTGATGGCGATGAAAGTTGTCAGTCTGCAAATTGATGGGAAGGCGTCTCCACTATACGATGCGTGGCCATGGATACGTAGCCCATGTCGTCTCCCATCCTCTTCCACCTTATTCCCTCTCTTTCTCTGGCTCTCGCTTTTCTTCGGCGTACTCCCCTCTGTTTATTTTCTCTCCTCCCTTCTTTGTCTCTTTATTATCGTCCTTCTCTCCCCTTTCTTTCCTATCCCACCTCTTACCCTTCAGGCACCCTCCGCCATACCCGTTCCAAGGCTCAAGAAAATTGTGGAGCAGAGTGTTGTAGGACCTACGCGGTGTTGTCGCCATGGATGTTTCAGCGCGACATGTTTGACGCTGCCATGGTTTCGCGCCGAGGTAGAGTGGACGTTCAGCATGCTTGATAAACCGTAATGCGTGCGCAGTTCGTGAGGAATGTTTGCCGCAGCACGCAGGGCCAGAAGACTGTCGCCATGACCATGGGTTACCTCGAGGCCTTACCAGAGCTTGGCAGCGCAAGTCGCGTTGGGGAACTCATCGCCAACGGGCAATTGAAAAACTGCCCGCTGCGATTCGCCCGCGAAGGCCGTTGCCCGAGAATGGCAAGCCTGGTGCGCTTATTCACGTGCTGGGAGATTCAACCTGCGAGACGTTGACCATGATCCACTTCGCCAACCACCTCCTGCTGGTCCCGATAGAACCCCAGGGCGGCCCTGGGCGAAAAGTTCCGCAGCACTCGCAACGTGCGCAGGAACCGCCCTCGCGTGTGCAACCCGAGCGTGACGTTTACCCCGCCTGGGCTGGGATGCCGACTACGCCATGTGCTTGCGCACGGTTTACGCGCTCAGGCGCAGGACCCCGACCGATTCCAGCGCTCGCTACGTCCCGCGCGAGGACGAGCGCGCCAGGGCCACGGAGAACGAAGTGGCCCAGTTTTTCAGCGAGCACAAGGCTGCGGCGCCACAGTCGACAGCGCGTCGGGCCCAGTCCTCGGCGTTCGAGGATGACATGGGCAAGCCAGACCCGTGCCGCACTGGTTCGCGCAAGACGGGGCAGTCTGCTTCCACGAGGGCGCGCTCCCGTTCCGATGGTGCGGCACCAGAGGCCGCGGGCCGCTCGCGCGCTCCATGACAGGGAAACGGAGAAAGGAAAAGGCGGCGGTGGCCAAGAGACCAGGGCCGCAGTGGAGGGTCCATCGACAAAAAAAAGTTCTGGGACAGAGCAGCGCGGTCGCGCCGGACTGCAGTCGAAGATCTATACGCCCCGCCCTGGGCTGCTCAAGGCCAAGTTGGACGCCAAGACCACCCGCATGCCGAGGGCGCGCACGAGAGGAAAGAACCCGTCCGTCAGGGAGACCACCCTCTTATTTCATCCCATCGGCTGGCGACAGCGGCGCAGGGGGGAACGCGGGACACTTGAAGAGATGCCGCAACACCTCGCCAACCACTTGCCGGAAGAACATCCAAAGCTTGGCGTCGGCGGCGCTGCTCCGCCAGGCTGGCTGGGACTCTGTTCTACGCGCAGCGAAGTTGCACAGGAGTGCCGTGACCGAGGGCGGCACGCTGTTGACGCCTCGAGCTGCAGCTCGCGGCTGCGCGGTCCACCTTCGCTCAGCTGCGGCCCGCGCGGGGAAACAGTCGCAAGTGCGACAATGGAAAACATGCGTAGTCCTCGCCATCCACAGTCGCCCATCCGTCAGCGATCTGCGCATCGCTGCCGAACGCCCTCGCTCGCTCGCGGCCGAGGGCGAACGATAGGGCTTTGCCGCACCAGTAGTAGCATCCTGGCCCTCGTCGCCGTCACCGTCGCCACTGACATCAGCAGCATCAGACAAGTCCTTGTGCTATCCTCCATCTCGCTTTATTTAATCGCTTCGCTCATGCCGCCGGCCCTGGAGCCCTCTTTAGGGCCTCTTGGGGGCCTCTTGGGGACCTCTTGGGAGTCTCTTGGGGCTCCTTGGCGGCGTTTTGGAGGCCCCCAGGGCCTCTTGGGGGGCTCTTGGGGGTAGTCGATTGCGGCTCCCCCCTCGGAGGCCACGATCCTCGTGAGGGGTGTCGAAAAATACCCTCCCCTGGAGTGGTCTGGTGGCTTCTCCCGGGCTTCTCTCGGGACCTTGCCGGGGTACTTTTCGTCCGGGGGGCCCCAGGGGCCGCTCCGCGCGCGCGAACTAGAAATATTGTTAACAAGTTACCGGAGATCTTAGCACGCCTCTGGCCCGTTGGGCCGGCGAATTAGCCCCTAGTACTAATCCGTTCCCTTTGTCCTAGTTGTATCCTGGTCCTCCGTCCTCCTACGCCTGCTTCTCATCCGAATAACCATATGATCCTCTGTGCCCTTAGCCATGGCCCCCACTCATCCCCCCTCCTCCTGTTCTCCAGTGCTTCCTTATCCTCCAATTATCCTCATCCTCCTCATCATGTTCATCACCCATGTCCTTCTCCTCCTCCTTATCCCCACTCTTCTTCGTCATCCTTTTCCTCCTCGTCCTCATTGTCGTCATCATACTGTTCATCACTGTCTACCTCTTTTCCCCGATGTATAGGCCAGAGCCCACTTTGTTTACAAGTGTTGCGTTTGGGGACCTCCTATCGGCCACGTCAGGCCATTCGTGACCAAAAACGAGCACGAGTATGAAAGATGAGTAGCAGCAGAAGCAGTACAATGGATTCCGTATCAAGAAAGAGTAGGAAGGAGAAAAATCGCAGGAGGCTGAAGACGGGAAGGAAGGGAAGGAAGGAGGATTCAGGAGGCGGAGGAAGGGAGGAGGAGTAGTAGCAGCCGGAAGGGGGAGGATGATGAGGACGACGACGACAACGACGAAGAGCGGGGGATGATGATGATGAGGCGCAAGAGCGGCGCGACAGAGCAGGAACACGACGAGGCCGATGACGAAAAAAAGGGCGGAGGAGCAGCGGCACAGTGGAAACATTGAGAGAAGTACCAGTTCGGGCTCAGAAGGAAGTCTGTCTTTCGGGCCGCTCCCTGGATCCAGGTGGCTAAACGATTCATGGCCGAGGCCCGCCGTGGCCAGAAGAGTCCGTTCGTTCCTTGTGCAGCGTTCCGCATAAGAGCGCGGTGATCGTAGGCGAGAAAAGGAGGGAGAGCTCGAGGAGGCACAGCAGCAGCAAAAGGCGGCTAAATATTTCGCGGGTAGGGGGGAGGTAGTTGGCCGGTGCGTTTTCCGTTGCCTGGTGTTGTTGGTTTCGAGTTGCGTTTTTGGAATGCCCGAGTTGTCGAGAAGTGCGTGGGGAGATGTTCACGCGCACGCGCCCGTACGCACGCGTACGCTCGCGTGCAAGCGCGCGCATACCGCATTGTTCATTCAACGACTCCTCGGGTCGCGCGAGTTTCACGTTCAGGACTTCGTGGTCGATTTGGGCCTCGGCCTCGGCCAAGCATCGCCACCTCGCGCCGTGCAGCGAACGCTCGCGCGCACCCCCGCGCACGTATGACATGTCAGCGACGGGTCCCGCTTCCGCACCGAATCGGCGCGCCCTGTCGCCAAGTCAGGTGTCGCTGGCGCCGTGTTTCTCGGAGACCCTTCACCGATCCGTGGATCGGGTGCCCACGCGCCAGATCCACGGATCCGCAGTCCCTGTCAGCATTTGCCCGGCGCTGCTACGTTTGCAGCCCAGGGCCCCACAGCCCCCGACCCCTTCCCCAGGCTCAGCCTCCCGTCCCGCAGCCACGTTCGACGGCCCCAGGGCCCGTGAGCTGGCCTCCGAGGGCCGAAGGTCGAGGAAGAGCGCCCGGATGGAGGAACACATGTCGTCGGAGCTCTGAGCACAGTCGAGGCAGGTCAGCAGGTCGACCCTGCGAAGTCAAGGGCACCTTTGTGTCCCATGGTTCGCGGCCCGTGCCTTCTATATTTCTGTGGCAGCGTGGCTCTCGGAAGGGTCTTGTGTCCTCTCGCGTGTCCTCTCCAATCAGCCCCGACCGTATACGCATGATGTGTTCGTCCTGCGTTTTTAGCAGGTGTGCGCGCGTCACGAGCGGCGAACGTATCCGTATCCGCGCCCTTGCAGTCTGGATTCCGGGGCGCGATCCCTCGGATACGCTGTCGCACGGATACCTTCCGCGCAGGGGATGCGCGAGAAAAACGCCCCGTATCCGCGGGGTCGCGGCCCAGGGACCCGGCCCGCAAGGCCACGGACACGGATATGTTTTTGTTTCCCGCAGGCTCGCGCGCGCACGCCTGCGCGCTGCGGCTGCGAGCCCGTGTGCGCCCCTCGCGCACCGAGACGCCCGCCCCGCGCCCCGCGCGCGCGAGGAGCTGGCCGGCCAGCAGCACGACGTGGCCGCCCAGCTGCTGCAGGCGCAGGCTGGCCCGACCAGCGCCGCCGTCGCTCGGAGGGGTCCTTGCCGGGCCGGCTCGATGCCCTTGTCTCCGACGAATTGGAAGACTCCGACGGCCCAGACATCCTGGCCTCGAAAAATCGAGACGCCGGTTTTTCATCGTTTCTGGCCTCTCCAGCGTCTCGGTACCGCCAAAAAGGGATTCGGGATGAAAAATTGGTCGCGGGGAAGTGGTCGCGAGGGGTCGGGGGCCCGCGTGTCGAAAGAATCGAGACGACGCCAGATCTTTGGGACGGGGGTTCATCGTCGTTTTCGGCCTCTGTGGCCCTGGCCCGGCCTCTGGACCGTTCAAAGCGACCTAGGACGGAAAGCCGGCCTTGCGGGAGGGGTCTGGACGTCCGGGGACCCCGCATTGGAAAAATCAAGGTATCGGATCTCTGGGGAGTTCCGAGGTGGCCCCACGGGGTGGTCGACCTGCGCGGCAGGGCTCACGCCGCGCTGGCGCGCCAGCGACCCCCAGCGGGGGTGTTTCCAGCCAGATGCACAGCATCGGCCGATCTCGAACGACTTGCGCTGTCGGAGAGCCGCAGTCGTTCAAGAATTGAGCGATCCGCGCGGCGCCCAGAGGCAGCGCCGGCTTCATGGCGACGGGAACCTGCCTCGGGGCCAAGGTGGGCCGAGGGCGCGAAGCGAAGGTCGCACGCCTCCCCCCAGCCTTGACCGACCGAGCGCGCCAGGCTCTGCTGTGGCCAGCTCTTGGGCTCCCCTGCTCGGGGGCTCGGTGAGGCTCGCATTGCGCGCCAGATCCGCTTGTGGGGCTCGCGGGCCCCACGGTGGCCTCGGGAAGGAGAAGATCAGATCCCCCCCTCACCGGATAGATTTTTTGGCATGCTGCGGGGACCGAAGAAGAAGAAGAAGAAGAATCATAACCGCCGAGAGCGGGAACTCGTCGGGCCTGCCTTGACAGGCCCGCCTATCAGAGTTAGGATTGGGATATGACCCCATGGTGGAAAGTTGATTTGATCTTCCATCGGAGCGGGACGGAATACAAAGAACATCATAGAGCACAAACATAAATTGTGGACGGTCCGCGTGGATCTCTTAGATCGGCGCTGGGGACCCTTGGCGCGCAGAGCCCGCCAGGCAGGGGGGACAGCGCCGATCCAAGCGATCTACATGGACCTCCGAATGTAAATATTGATGCAGAAATTTCTTCTTCCAGGACAGGCTCTTGGGGACAGGCTGTGGGTAGACTACCCTGCCCACAACCCGAACTCCCCCTGAAAAGTCTGCACGCCGAACCCTTGTCATTCGGGGACAGAAAGAGAGGTGTGCATGCCGGTCGTGGGAGGCAGGTATTTCTGGATTTCCAGATCCCAATCCACTTCAAGCGCCTTCCTACTTCAAAAGTCGATATGATGTTGCTCCGTAGCCATCTTGGCTCAAGCTGTTTTGGCAGAAACCACGCACCTGGATCTTACCATTCCGGCCCCAATCCACCCAAGCGCGCTGCACCAGCGCCCACACAGTCGCATTCTATTTGCGCCCAGCTCAACATGCTGTGGAAAGGCCATGAGCTGTTGCTGCTGCTGCTGCTGCTCTTCCTGTCAGCGGCGGACGCGCAGTGGGATCCCTTTGGCAGGCTGTCGACAGCGGGGCCGATCCCGACCCCTAAAGAGGACACGATTGCCTACTACCCGCCGCTGTCGGGGAACCTCCGCCTGGGAATCGCGGCGAAGCTGACGCTGCGCGACGGGTGCGGCGCAGCCCGCGTGGTGGCGGCCACCCGCGCGATCTACGACGTGAACACGCGCAACTCCACGTTCTGCCCAGCCATTGCCAACCTTGGCCCTGCCGACCTGTTCAATGTCTCAACGGATGTCATGGACCACGGTGGCAACAACGAGCGCGCAATCTTGGCAGGGTTCTATTTCAACAACATGGTTGAGAAGTCTGGCTTCGGCCTCTACGGAGAGCCCGTGCACGGCATCGTTGGTTTCACTACGTCGGGCTCGTCGGCGGCAGGCGCCACTGCCATGCAGTCGTTGGGGTTGCCTATGGTTTGCTATTCCACCACCAGCCCACTGCTCTCGCTGAGGAACGGCCTTGCGCTTAAGTACCCAAATTTCTTCCGCGTCTGCCCAGGCGACCAGAACCGAGTAAGGGCTGCTGCGCGCGCCATGAGGCACATGGGATACACCCGCGTGGTGTCATTTTATTTCAGCGAAGACTACACGCGCAGCATGTGCAGCTCCTTCGCGAGCACGGCTACTTCTCTGGGTATGACTGTCGTCTCCAAGGAGGTGCCCACGACGGACGGTAACAGTGGCAACCAGCCAGATGAGAATGCCATTCAGCGCATCCAGGAGGCGTTCACGGAAATCCACGAGGACCCTTCTATGCCCCGAGTCATCATGTTGTGCGCTTTCCAGTCAGAGTTGCCGGAGGTGCTGAGGCAGGCTGAGAGCATGGGCTTGCGAAAGAAGGAGCACAATTACGTCTGGTTCCACCCGGACGACGGTAATTTTAACGACCCACGTGAAGCATTGGGCACTTTCTCGGTCAGTTGGATGCCCGATTCCGACCGTACGCCGCTCTTCGAGGAGGCTTGGGACAGCGGCGAAATTCGAGCTGGCGGTTTCGAGTACAAGCTTGGCGAAAACATTTGCGGGTCATCGATGAACGAGTCGTGTTGGGATATGCCGAAGGGTTCCACTTGGGGCGAGGACTACGGCGATTATTTCAGGTACGTCGAGAACACATCCGTCACAGCGCAGAACAATTTCGCAAAGTGCAAGACGTACACGCAGTTTGGTTACGACAGCATTGTGATGTTCAGTGTTGCCATGCATAAGGGCATCACTACAGGCCGGTTCACCAGAGACACGGTGACGAGTTCGTTGTTGGAAGAGATGCTGCAAGAGCTGGTTGGCGATACCAGCTACGGTGAATGCCTGGCAGGTGGCCTCCTGACATTCAACGAGGATCAAGAGCGTAACCTGCCTTACATGGTGAGCAACTTTTACCTTGACAGCGCTGACAACACAGTGAAGAAGGCCGACGTCATCCTGGTGCCGGACCAGATGTCAGGTGCGTTGGTGTACCAGGCTACTTCGGACCTGGCTGCGTGCTCCGTGGACTACCCTGGCGAGAAGTGCTTCAAGCCGAACGGCGAGGGCCCGCTCGACGGTGGCTTCCCTCTCGGCAGGGCGGAGACCTGCCTCGACGGCACGTACTGGCACAGGGGCGAGTGCGTGCCGGCGGACCTCGGCTACTACGTCCCCGAAGTGGCAGCGGGTCAGTCGGTGCCCTACATGGCGCAGACCGCTTGCCCCGTGGGCTCGTACACGAACGCGTCAGGTCAGACCGCGTGTAGGTTCTCCAGTCCGGGTTATTTTGTGAACGAGAATTCCACGAACGAGGTGCAGTGTGCAGAAGGTACGTTCGCCGACGAGAAAGGCGCCGCAGTTTGCACCAAGTGTGTCGCTGGCGATTTCCAGGAAAAGCGAGGCCAGACGAGCTGTGACCGTTGCGAAGTGGGCAGGTATCAGGATGAGAAGGGTCAGTCCAGCTGCATATCTTGCTCAGACGGCCGCACAACTCTGTACACGGGGTCCTCGAGCGCGTCCGATTGCATCTGCCAGGTGGGCACCGAGTACTTGGACGATACCACGGACACATGCAAGCCGTGCCCCATCGGCATCAATTGTCCGGCAGGTGCGTCGTTGGCATTCGAAATAGGGACAGACGTCAGCAATGGTGGTTACACCGCTTTGTCCGTCAAACTTGGCTACTACATACCAGTTTCTGCTGTGAGTGCCAGCGATTCTGCGGGGCGTGAAGATGCCATCATCAATGAGGTTTACGCGTGCGATGCTCTTGGGGAGGCTGTGCTGTCACAGTCTGGTTACAACACGCCATGCCCTGGTGGTCCGCCGGGCTCATGCGCGCTGAACCGCGACGCGGGTTCGCTTGCTTGCGGGCGCTGCATGGATGACCACTTCCGCGGTTCCGACGGGATTTGTCAGAAGTGTGGAGGCGGCGAGGCCGTTGGCTTGATTTTACTGATCGTCCTCGGACTGACACTGCCTGTCGGATCCTACTTCTTCATCAACGAGGGAGTTACTGCGAAGCTTGGAGAGCTGACAGTTGCCATCCTGAGTTTCGGGACTTTTGTCACAAGCGTGCAGCTGGCAATGGTCATCACCAAGATCTCGATATCATGGCCTACAGGCAACCGGGACATATTCCGCACTTTCGCAATTTTCGCCTTCGATTTGGACTCCGTGCGCGCCGAGTGTCTGTTCGGCTCAGGCGCTACAACAGGCTACGTGCTCACACTGCTCATCCCGATCCTGTTAGGCGCGGTGCTCTTCGGCGCGTCGTTCTTCTCCCGCGTGGTCTTTACCGTGAGCCAACGGTTGCACATGAAGGGGCCTGAGACATGGAACACTTATTTCACAGTCTACCAGGCGGTCTTCATTGCAGTATTCATAACAGTTGTGCGCCCGTTCCGTTGTTATTCTCACCCAAATGGCAAGTATTCCATGGTGGACTACCCTGATATCATCTGCTGGGACAGTGACTCTGACCACACGTTGATGATCGTCTTTGCCATAATTGCCATCTTCGGGGAGGTTGTTGCGTTCCTGGCTTACTACATGTGGTGCATCATGACGTTGCCCAAAACCAGCGTGACGAACCCAAACGTCCTGCGCAGCCTCAAGTTCGTCGTGTATCGTTTCCGGGACGGTGCCTGGTACTGGGGTATCATCTTCCTCGTCAGGAACACATTCACTGGTATCTCAGTGATCATCGACCCGTCTCGCCCGTATGCACAGATGATAGTGATGGCCAGCGTGCTGACGGGGTATTTCCTCTTGAGCGTGCTCATTCTGCCCTGGAGGGGCAATGCTCTGAACCTCTCAGACGCGATCACCTGCGCGAGCCTCGTCATGCTGGTGGCGGCCGCGGGGCCGGCCGTGGGAGAGATGTCTGCAGCAGTTGAGACCCAGGTTCGGCACGAACGAAACGGGTACGGAAAGAATGGGCACAATGCCCAACGGCAGTTCCTGTTCGGTTTGAACAGGACTCGCTGTCCGCGCCGCCACGGCCTGTGTCCATTTGAGACAAAAGGCCGCCTGCCCAACAGCGGCCGCTGTTGGTGTGGAACACCACTTGTTGTTGGGCATTGTACCCATCTTGTCCGTACCCATTTCGGGCGTCCAAACAGGTGTCCACTGGCACGATGTTCTTCTGGCTACTTGGCCTCGGATCAAATGTGTTGATTTTCATATACCTCGTCTATGTCTTCTTGAGAGATCTGTTCGGTTCGAAGGACATGCAGCAGGCAAAACAAGAATCGGATCTGAAGAAAGCTCGTGACATGGGGAAGCGGCTGCTGCGGATGTGCCAGGGTCTGTGCAACAGGAGCGAAGAGGAGATTGGGAAACAATTGGTGGATCTCGGGGACTTCGACTTGATGCGGCTCAAGCGAGGCGTTCGCTTTATCGAGGTGGAGCTGCTGCAGGACGATGACGAGATCGTGAACACCATGTCTTGGGGCAGTATCTTCGAGGCCCGCATCAAAACTTCGACTCAGCGCCCCTCCACCCAGAAAGGTCTTCATCCCAGCGAGCCAGACAGCGTCCATCTCGGCGAGTTGGCAAACGATGATCCCAACGGCGAACCTTGCGGCGAAGCGGCACCAGAAGTGGCGGGCGCAGGGGCAACCGACCCCGCCGCCGGCTCGACGGCACAAGAAGTGGCGGGCGCAGGGGCGACCGACCCCGCCGCCGGCTCGACGTCGGAGACCCCGGGAGTCGCAGTCTGAGCTGTCTTCCCTGCAGATCCCGCTGCCAACCGAGGGAGGCAGCACCTGGCCAGCGTGATCCGACGACGGCTTGCGGGTCTGGAGGAGTTAGGAGAGGCGGGCTGGGGGGGAGGAGTAGAAAGGATGGCGGAGGAGTGGGGTCGAGTGAAGTGGTGGAGCGGGGAGGAGCGGGGCTGACTCTGGAGGAACGGAGGGGAGCGCGGAGAGGCTCGGAAGAGTGGGGGGGCAGCGCGAAGTAGCGGGCGAGCGGGGAGGAGCGGGGAGAGGAAGGGGAAGGAGGGGGGAGCAGTATTTCGTGCCTTTGTCTCCTCTCACCTGTCTGCCCTGGGGAGAGCGAGCGCGGCGGACCATGCGCGGTACCGTCATCATTGATTTTCCGCGGCAGTGAGGCGAACCCCACGCGGGCGGAGCGCTGAAGCTCTGAACTTATTTCTGTTCCACGGCTTCTCGTTCAACGTTGAGGCCATTTTGAAGGCTGGACCCCCATCCGATCGAACGCACCGGTGGTCCATAATTGCCAGCGTGTTTGGTTTGTTCCCGAGCTTCTGTCAACCAGGAGTTTTGCCTGCTTGACAGAATCTTGTATTTTTTACACAAGCAGTATTTGCACAAAGGGGCTCTACTTGTTCGTTACCTCTGCACTTTTGCAACGCATCGTTTGTCTCGTGCCCATATTCCCATTCAAAGGTACATCGATATTGCTAGACCCACTGTGTGGCATCCAAGCTGGCAAGCGTGAACATATTGTACATACCAACCGCGAGGCCGGTTGCTGCGACCTGGAGGGTCAGCTGGGTGAAGCAGGCAGTGCGAAGTCGTCTCGCATGGCTATTCGTGCCGAAGCACGGTGCCAGCCATACACGTGAGTGTTTTCGCAATTGTCTGTTCCCATGTGCAGTCAACCGCACAATCCTAGTAATGCTCACCGTCTCATGCACAAGTGCGACGGCGCCTCACGAAGCAGGCCAGCTGGTGGAAGAAAAGAAATAATCGATATGATGTTGCTGTTGTTTGCCATTCTCTGGGCGGGCCCGAACCCAATCTCCTTTACCCGCCTTCCTACTTCATGTTTCTACCTACTTCTTTCGACGGGCGGGCAATTGCAAGTCATCGCTGGTCAGGTGCAGGATTCGAACACGGACCTACCTTCGCACGCGCGACCATCCCACGTGCTCCGTACCTGTACCGAGCCAAATACCTAAGCCCAAGGGAATCATGTCAGTGTCACAATTCGGCCGCACCTCGTTTGCCCGTTTCCCTGCCCCTCTTCTCTCTCTCTCTCTCTCTCTCTCTCCCCCCCTCTCTCTCGCCCTTTCTCGCTCGCACTCTGCCACCCACTCTGGACGTCAAGACCTGGCGCAGCTCAGACATCCGACGATCTGACTTTTTCAACCCGCGCCCCCAGGCTTCCCAACCCCTCCCCCGAAGGGTACCTTGTCGTCCCGGATTCGATGTTGCCCCCGGGCGACCGAGGAAGGGCCCCAGAGGCCGATACTCGTTCTCCATCCGCGGCTCCTGAGGTCCCGCAGACCTGTTCCCCCGGGAGCAGTGTCCGTCCCGGGTCCACGTTCGGTGGCCCCGGGGGTGCCCGAGAGCGGGCCCCCGAGGCCCGCAGTCCAGGAAGAACACGCGGGGGGGGAACGAGGTCATGTCGCCGGAGAGGCGGAGCCCCTCTGCGCGCCCATCCGCATCCCTCCTCGAAGTCAGACGCAAGATGTTCCCGCGACGTGGCGGCGCCCCAGGGCCCCAATATCTCAACGTTCGTGCCGAAAGTGGCGACGACAAACACACGAATCTGACCGCGTGGGCCGCGGTTCGCGCGTCAACCATCATTAGAAACTTGCGTTGGATTTCGAGGAGGGTTGAAGGTCTTCCAGATGGGATCAGAGTAGATATGGCGCCGCATCGCCAATACATCGGCGATGTGGCTCGATGTGGAGCCCGATTTTCTCCACACCGACGTCGCTGACGTCGCCGATGCATCGCCGACGTCGACGGTCCATCGGCGATGCGGCGCGATCCTCCGACCCAATCTACTGTCAAAACCTACGGTAAGGATGCGCAGCTTCTTCAAGGCTACCCCTGCATTCCTGCTTCTTCGGCCCATCCTGAGCCAATCTTAACGTCCAAGGAGCTCCAAATTGCAAATGGGAACTCCAAGGGTCTTGCATCCTCACCTTGCGTCCTCACTCTGGATCTTGACTGCCTCGGACCCCCTTTGGGAGGCCTCTGGCCCATTCTGCCCCCCGAGGAGCGCCTGGCCGCCACGGGCCGCTACTGTGACGAGAACGCCGCGGACATGTCGGCCGAGGAAGTGGCTGGCCGCCGGTCGGTGCGGGCCGAGCGGGTCTCCACGAGGGGCCTCACAATAGCGATTGGGAGCGCCAACCGATAGGATCGCTAGACCCAGACCGCTTCGACTCGTGAGAGAACACGACCCAGGGGGGGGCTCGCTGTCTCCAGCCTCTGAGGGCCCTTACCTGGGCTCGGGACCGTCACACAACACGCAACGACTCAGGATGAAAAATCTGTCCCGGGGAAGTGGTCGATAGCGTTTCGCCAGAGGGTTCTAAGTCAGCTTAAAAAATGAGCCGCAGACGGGTCCCATGGGGGGGACTGGGAGCCTTAGACCGCTCGGTCGGTCAGTCGTTTCGCCGGAGGCTTCCTCTCAATTTATTCAGGCGTCGCGCTCTCGCCTCAAGACCGGCTACACTTTTGGTCCGGACGATCACGACCTCTTGTAAGAATTTTTTTAATACGCACATCGTATGATGATTGAGTTCTCTGCCCCTGAAGAGAACAGGAAGCGTCCGATCCAGAAGTTCATCCCGAGGGTGAGAGAAATACGGCAGGCATCACGTTCGCAAAAACAAAAATGTTCCACACCTCGTGCTTGAACATCTTCTCTCTTCGTGCTTCAATGTTCGCAGCCCTCGGCTTCGATATGCAAGGCGTACGAGAATGCGCTGCAGCTGCTCGTTGTCGGCCCCCGGTCTGCTTTTAATTACCGTATGCTGACCAATATGGCTTCGATGAGATTTCTTTGGTCCTCTACGATTCTGGAGGTGACGTCTCGGGCGACGAAATTTCGGCTGGTCCAGCGGAGCCCTGAAGTCCCTGGAGGCAGTCGAAAATTCCCTCGTGATGGATGACGAAGTCTGTGTGTACAGTGCCCCGACGGACTGGTCGCAACGAAGTTTGACACTTGCTCTTTACCTGTTTCCCGCTCTGTGCAAGGCTTGCTGATGTGCTCCCCGTGCCCGACTCCCGACTGCAGCAGGAATTTCCCGGCGGCGATCGCGCGCCAGCTCTATCGTTTTCCCGAATTCAACCTTGATTCTGGAGTTGACACAGTGATCAGGATGAGGAGGTGAATGGGCGAGGTTCCCGAGGATTGTATGATCCATATTTCCAAGGATGTCCTTTTTGTTATATGTAAAAATGGTCCGTATCTGGCCATGGTTTATCTGAAGTTCCTTCCCGCGGTGTGTTATGACGTCGGCCCGATGTCATTCCCAAGCGCACGGCTGTCGTTTTGGATGCCAGTGTGATGATGTGGACCCCCCTTCTCCGACCTCGCAAATGTGATCAAGTGTTCAAGATGTCTACACTTTACTGGTTATGCGCCCGGTGGTTCAGTGAGTTGACCTTCTGCCAATTCCCTCCCTGTTTGCCATTTTTCTCCACGTCGGAGCGGCCCCGCACGGTGCAACTTCTAGTCTCAACCGTTCTTGATGGATTTCTGCTTGCTCACAACTGTCGGCGGCATGGTGTTGCTTCAGGCTCTGGCTCTGAACACATCCACGCCCGCTTGCGTGCCCATTGCCCGCCGACACCGCTCAATCGCTGAATGTTGGAAGTTCGATCGGCGTGTGAGGTCTCTTCTCGACCATCAAGAATTTACCTGTTTTGCTGGGTTTCTGCAGGGAAATGTGGAGGCCGCCGCCCTGTGGTGTCCCAGGGTGGCCGAAATGCTCGGGCTGTCCCCTGGCCGCCTTCCAAACAGCAACATGGGCCCCGACGGCCGGACCCTCCCAAAAGAAGATTGCAGTGTTCCACACGAGTTTGTATATGCACCCCGTCTGGTGGCCGTCCACCGTATGTGGCCTCAAGCCTTTTTGCCCGCGAGCCCAGCCCGCGGGACCCCTTCAGAGTGTGGTGCATGGTTGTCGGGCAGGTGGCGCAGGCGGCAATCCTTGGGGCGGCCAACCTCGGCGACGCTTGGCTGGGGCGCTGCCCAGCCTGCCCGCCGCCCGCGGCCTGCCCGCCGCCACCAGCGCGCCCTGCGCCGACATTCACTTGCCCGCAGGTGACGCTCACCTGCCCCTCGCCGCAGCCGCTGAGCTGCCCGCAGGTGGCCTGCTCGTCCCCCACGCGCCCGCCTTGCGAGTCGACTGTGTGCGAGGAGGCCCCGCCGTGCCCCTCGCCGGCCCGCGAGAGCGCGGGCGAGCCGAGCGCCTGGAGGGCGTGCCTGCCGATCTGGGTCGCGGTGTTCCTGGCGGCACTCTGCTGGTGCAGCGGGGCCGTTTGCTCGCTGTGCTTGGGCCAGGTCTGCGTGCGCCATCCTCAGCATTCTGGCCGCGGTGTCATTGTCCGATATGGCGCCGGGCGACATGATCCTAGTCCGGCGCGCGGGGGACGCGCTATGGCATGAGCGCGTGTTGTACTGGCTGCTACCGCCCCGGGCGACTGGAGTGGTAGGTGGACTGGGTCGCCGCGACGCCCGACGGAGACCAGCACGTCGAGAGCGTGCAAGGCGGCCACCCTGACGACAGCCCCGCGGAGTGGATCCGCCCAGTTGCTGACGGTCGACTGCCACACGGTTTTGCCGATGCCGTCTATTCGATCCCCGCAGGCGGCGAGTTGGACGACGACCTCCTCTCGACGTTGATCGCTCGCGCGGCCACTCTGGCCGCGGAGACCGCTCGGGCCGACGGAACGCCGCCCGCCGACTACCCCATCGTGAGCCGGATCCGAGGACAGCGCGTCGCAGCCGACGC